TAGCTGAAAGTCTTGGTACGATCAGAGAGTTTAGGAAGTAGCTTGGGAGATGTAGGAGCCCATTTGCATCCAGATCTGGGAGCAAGCTCCTCCTACTTCCATAAACAGGGACTTCCTTAGCAAAACCATAGCAAAAGTACTAGAGACAGGGAAGAGCATGGTGGGTTTTTTTCAGTGGAAGGGAGAGCTGGGAAGGAGGATGTAACTGACATCATGCTGACAAGAGGGCCCTGAAAGTGAAGACTGAATCCTGGTCTAGAATTGAAAATCCCAAGGAAGTACTGAAGAGAACAGATCCCCAAGTCCAATGCACTGTCAGAAATGTACACAGCCGAACAGCATGGCCGCTGTGTCCTGAAACACCAATGGGCTTTCGAGAAGTCACCCGTTTCATGCTTCACCAGAGAGAGGTGTCTTCAGTCTAGAGGTCAGAGGCTCTTGATTCATCAAAATCCAAAATCAGGTTGGATGTCATCTTTCCAACAGGAGATTGAAAGGGGAGATGTTTCTCCTAAGTATCCAAAACATGGCAGAGTTCGGACGACGGCAGCAACAGCAGGTTGCCTTTCAATTTGTCTTTCAATCTGAGTGCATATGCCTTCCACGAAATGGTGAGATTTTCTTGGTTGGCAGAAAGTTGAGCTTTCTCAGGAGTTTGTCTGAACCAGCTGTTGCTTTGAATGAAGTCCAGGGAAAGTTGGGAAACAGCTCTTCTCGCATCTGATGTGCAGTTAATGCTGGGTGTCATCAGCCTTGGAGTAGTCTGTCAAGTCCAGGAAAATTCAGCCTCTCACTACTACTCAGCACTGACGCTTAATGTAAGGAACATGATAGGACTGTGAGGAACACATCAACAAATGTCAGCTTCACAGGTGGAGGGGAAAGTGCCCTATGGAGGATGCGGACTTGGAAAAAAGATATTAAAGCCACAGTGGTGTGGACTTGCTAGGGTCAGAAAGAGGACATGGGAATTCCTGGGTCAACCATATGAGATGGCATGAAGGACTTCTGTAATGTTCATGAGGGTATCTGGTCCTTGTCTGTGACTTAAAGGTCATCATCCAGTCTCTGAGCTGGAAATCTGCTTGATCCTGCCCAGGATAAGCACAGCAGACCTCCTTTGGTAGCTTGCTGAGGCAGGTGTGAAAGGCAGAACTTCTGCTGGTGGCTGGGAAGATAGTTACGCCAAGTAATGTCTACTCAAATACAGGCGAGCAGTTGGGTGAGAAATGTGTTACTGTAGAAGGATGAAATGGTTACTATGCTCATAAAGAATGTAACAGCTTTCCTCCTAAGTTTAGAAAGGCTTGAAGCAGACAAACTCTGCATTATCTAGCAGTTGCATGTGATGAGTTCACAAAGGTAGGTTATGGGGTTGCCAGGCCACTGTTATGATTCTGGTGTTCTTGGGGCTCTGTTGATGCTCATATGAATGGCCCAACATAAGCGCCAGAGGTAGCTTTTAAATCAGTGGTGCTGTTCCCACCTCCAGCACACCTTCTCCCACCTTGTGGCACTTCAGAAGGAGCTCTTTTCACTTCTATTACAAAGATAGATCTTGCACTAATGCAGAAAGTGAACTGTAAATTAAGCACAGAATGGTGGCAGCTTGGGAACCAATCATGTCATCTTCTTGTTGCTCCCTGTCCTTTGGCAGTCCCCCCCTTCAGGGAGTGACCAATTGGGAACACTGACACTTCGAAAAGCGTGAGCACCAGGTCTGCGCAAACACTGCCCCTTAAAGAGCACGGTCACGAGGAGCTTTAACAAGGCTGCTGAATTTCCTAGTGCAGGTGTTCCCTTGGGCAGGTAGTAACAGAAGACCCAAGACTATCTTGGGCAGCAATGGGGATACATCCGGTAGGTGTGACCTACTTGGCATTAGGCTCAAGCACATGTGCTTTCTGAGACTTATACTTGTCCTGAGTAAAGCAAGTGGGGAAAAAAAATAAATAGAACAATGCATTTTGCTTTGGGAGGGTGATAAAGAACGATGAAGCAAAGTCCATGGCCACATCAACTCAGTCAGATCAGAATAGTTGATAACAAGCTGAACCTTCTTAGCCCTCTTTCTTTGATGGATGTGATGATAGTCAATGTTGTGGAGGTCCCACACAGTCTTTTGGCTTAAAGGGTCATGTGAGTAATGGAGGGAGACGAAGAGGGAACAAAGGGAAGTAATCGGTTTTGCACCAGTGAACATGCAAATATTCCGTTTTTCTGTCCTGCGTTTCTTCCATGCAGGAACCGGAGCCAGTGTGACGGCTAGGTCACACTCAATGCTTCTTGTGTCCTGGTACAACATGGTAGCATTGCACGGCTGGGGACCCTAAAGATCTTTGGAAACTTCTAGTAGTGAGAAGGGCCAGGTGATGGCCAGCAAACACTAGTGCCATCATCGTTTCTGTAAGAATGTGAAAATGCAGGAAAGAGAAAATACAAGAGAAAGAGGAAGAGCATCCTTAATCTTGCATACCAGAAACTTAGAGTGCCTTTTCTGACCTGGCCTCACGCTGGGAGATAGCTCCCAAGAGATCTCCAGATGTGCAGATTTGACTCTCGGCAAAACCTCTCGTTGCCTCTCTAATGCTGGGTGACTCTCACTTCGAAAGTTTCCTGTGCACACGAGAGCTGCTTTCTGCACAGGGAAGGGCAATGCTTCCTGTTTTTCTACAACATTGCTTCCTCCTCCCTCGTCCGGTTTCTTGGACAGGCTGGCAGTCGCTATCGCGTCTGGGTGAAGTCTCTCCTTTGTTTGCTCTACTGTTTCGCCAGACCGACTTTCTTCGTTTTCTTTTTTTATCTCCACGTTTGTTCTCCGACTGCCACGTCGCCCGTGCGCTCACAGGGCAAGGTGACGCGAGGAGCTGCCAGGAACGCAGGTGTGGGTTGCTTGTGACAGATCCCAGAAAAAAAAAAATAGCTGCCTGATAGGCGAGTTGGTTTTGTGGTTACACGAAGGGTAAGGATCTGTTCCAAGGTGTCTTTTCGTTACTTACTGCTGCAGAACCGACATTGTTTAGGCTATGTCCACTTCAGCACCTCTGTAGTGGAGATTACACGTGATGTTTGTGACTAAGCTGAACAAAGTCAAACAGTTTCCTTTGCTCAACGGTGCTCTTGTGTATGGATCTGTTAATCTATAGGTAATGACCAGTAAGTGAATCTCTGCGATGCGAGACTTAAAAGCGGATCCGGCCTTAACCACAATTTTGTGGTAGAATCAACAGTCTTCATAGTTGACTTCCTCGCTCTTTCAAGGAAGGGTCTTGTGCCTTTAAAAGGAAAACCAAGTGCACACACACAAAAAATAACCCCGAACAACAAAAGCCAACATCTATATATAATATGCAAAACCTACAGGGGACCGCGCAGGCTGACATGATGTCACTGGCTTTCTCTGCCAGCCTTTCACACGCCTCAGAGGCGAAGATGCTTTACAGCAGAGCTCTGTGGTTTGGCGTGTGATTGCACAGAGCTGTGCTCGGGGTCACGAGGCTGCCGCTGCTCCCCGGCCAGCCCCGCTGTGCGGGAGAGGTCTGCTCGTGGACGAGGAGTGGTTTGCAGGAGAGGTCTGCTTGTGGACGAGGAGTGGTTAGCTGGGTGCAAAACCTTTCCTGTTGCCACACTTAATGCTGTTGGTTTTTCTGAAGTCCTTGCCAGGCAGAGCTGGGGGAGGTCTGCTGAATACGGTATCTGTGTGAGAAGAAAAATAGCCTATTTAAATGTCAGTAGCTAAGCCCAATTCCTGTGCGAGAGTGCATGCATATACTTGTGCAGTATGAGTAATGACACGACAGGCTTCCGAAATGAGGCTTCATACTTAAATATCTCTAGAAGTATCAGCTGGGAGTAAGGACCTTCCAAATGTACACTGTCCGTGCAAGCACAGCTGGGTTGCTTACCCCAAAGGGCGGTGGAAGGGCTGTACCAGCAGAAAGCATTGGCACGGGGCATCTGCCACTGCGTTATACTGAAGAGTGTTTGTTTGCTTTGTTGGTAAAATGAAGTCACATTACTTCAAATGCTGTTGCTATGGGCAGGCTGAGAGAACAGAAACTCAGCGGTTAAACCTGGAACACATCTCGGTGCAGTGGGAGTGTCCAGATGAGCAGGTTTAAGCTCTGAAGTGCTGGCATGGGAAAGCATGAGAGGTCCCCCTTTTTTGTCCGTGGTTAGCTTGCCAGCAGCAGGGCAGGACTTCATCAGCTTTAGGGACGTTTTGTGACTTCTCTGATATCATCTGTTCCAGGATCAGGCTCCTCAGGTGGCCTTTCCCACTGAACAACTGCATGCTTTCTGGCTGGGTTGGCAGGTGACAGGTGTTTGCTAATCTTGATCTAGCTTGTAATTTATGTGCTTTTTTCCTTTGGTTATTCTAGCACGACCAAACATGTTGCAGCACTTGGATCACCTCAGCCTCTGTGTAAAGCTTCAGCTAACTCCTCCTATCCTAAACTAAACATGAGAGATTCCAGGGAGAAGTAGTGATAATCAGGATGCTGGCTTAGGGGTTCTTGTTTGACCAGCCCTGCCAAGCATAGCCACAGAAGCATATTGATGATGGTATGAGCTATCACAGAAACTCATCCTAAAGAGCAGCAGTCTGTACTTTGGGTTTTTTCTATATCAGATACTCGTGTAGATGGCCTGAGTGGAGCAGCATTATACCATAGCTCATCCACCATCAGGTAAAATTGTAGCTGCTCTGTGATTAAGCTTATAAAGCATAAACCGCAAAATAGCATTAGCTTCAGAAACGGCTCCAGAAGTCCTGCAATATCTGGGTGTTGTGCTGCCACGAGTAACATTTGCAAGAGATGTGTGGAATATAGTATGTCAGCTACTGTCTGTGACAATTTCAGAGTTCAGGAGTTGCGTTAGAGCACTATTACTGGCATCTCAGTGATGTAAAAGCAGCAACTTGCTGTTGCTGGTGTTTGCCCTTTAGAAACGAGTACTGTGTCCAAGTTTACCCAGATAAACTTGCTTCTCTGCAGGCAACATGGTGGAGTGGTGTTTACCCCAAGATATTGATTTGGAAGGTGTGGAATTCAAATCCATGGCAAGTGGGTCTCACAAAATCCAGTCAGATTTCATGTGAGTATGTCTGAGCTATATTACTTCATCTTTCTCTTAGCTGTACGTCTACACCACCATCCCTTAATTCAGAACATGCAAGAAAAATACCATCTACGAAGTTAAGTTCCTGCATAAACGTGCTGCTAAACTGTATCTAGCTGAGCCAAAGATACCCTCCAGATACTTTCAACATGGTATCAAGTAGGATCTGCTGGGTGACAGCTTTGGCTGCAGAGGTCAACCGGTGAACCAGGCAGGGCAGCGTCTCAGTGGTGTGCAAATTTTAATGCATATTGGGGAAATCGTACTGCACTGTGCAACTTCTGAGGCTGTCAGCAGAGCCTAGGGTGAAGGGGGGAGAATGGCAGAACTGAAATGGGAAAGATTTTGCACGAACAGAACTTGGAAAAAGTTTCTGAATACTGCCACTGCTTTTGAATTCTTTAAATGTGATAAAGAGTCCTCGCTCCCTTTCTTCCCCACTAGCTCCTTCCTTCAGTGGAAAGACATGAGCTAGGCATTTTCTGCATTCCCGTCCTTTCACTGACCCAGTGTTGCAAAGCAGCAATGTTTTGCAATGAACTGCAGTGTCACAATTCCTTCTGGTCAGGAGTAACAGTTACTTTCTGAAAGGCATGTGAACTTAACCTTGCACTCAGCTAACGTATGCTTCCACATGCTGGCACCCAAAATATGACTCGGTAGCTAGACTATACTCACAACTTCATGCACTGCAGGCTCTTCTTCCTTGAGAGGAGGACACTGCGTTGACTGGGTCCTGCATCCTCTGTTAGTCTTCCTTCCAAGTTCTTTCCCTTTTCCTGTGACGTGGCTGGTCAGCGCTTTAGTGGTAGAGGCACTGGGAACTCTGCCCTTTTATGTCCTGTCTTGAGAAGGCTGGGACACCCAAGGCCTGCCCTCAGCCCTTCAGATAGCAGGGTGGGATTTCAGGGGATTCCCTAAAGAAGAAACTGTGTTCTCAAATGAGTATTTTTAGCAGCCAGTTACCTTTATTTCTTCCCCTTCCTTCTTTTTAACATTAACCTTTCTGTCAAACCTTTGTCCCCAGTTATTTCCGGAAAGGGCTCTGTTTTGGCCTGGCCTGCTTTGCCAACATGCCTGTGGAGAGTGAGTTAGAGCGTGGTGCCCGTATGAAGTCCGTGGGGATTCTCTCCCCTTCCTACACCCTGCTATATAGGTACATGCACTTCCTGGAGAACCAGGTCAGGTGAGTTCCCTTGGGAATGGGACTGGCCACTCCCCACCTAGAAGAGGTAGTGTTGCCTCGATAGAGACTGGTTTTAGCCGTGAGTGAGAATTTGACTACAATGCTGAGCTACAATTTCCTTGAATGACTACTTGTCCAGAAAGAGTTACAGGTTCACAATGGGAAGGAAACAAGGAACTGATTAGCAGCAGTCTATTCATCGCTAACAGGCTGGTCAGATCTATGCAAACACTACTTATTTTGTGGGGACCTAAGTGTCGAGGAGAGAGCTGAGAGGACACAAAGTTCCCCTTTTCTCCTTCTGAAAATCATTTTACAAAAGGCTCACAAAGGGCTTCTAAACCTATGATGGTGATCCTGGCTAGGTGTGTGGCTCAGCTGTGTTGAGTGAGCCTGGCAGGGAAAATGATGGTGGTAGAAAGGAAAGCTGTTCCTACCTGAGCATCCTTGAAAACAGGATCAGTCCTATGCATACATCAGCTCACTGTCTGCTTCAGTCCTGCCCATGTCCCCTGCCTGCACTGAAAGCTGGTGTTACTCGCGATTCTTTAGCTGTCCTCCTGGATAAGTCTGTGCAACTGAGGCAACCAGGGCTTCTTTGCTAGCTGGGAAAGCAGGTGTTGGCTGGGGGCAAGGCACTAAATAAGGAGAGTCCAGGGACACTACTAATCTCCCCTTTTTTCCTTTCTTTTCCAGACACCAGCTGGAGATGCCAGGGCACTACTCCCATCTAGAGGCATTCTATGATGACAAGAAAGGAGTTCTCCCTGACAGCAAGGGCACCTCTCAGCAACCTGTCCACTGGCTGCCATCCATCCACAGATACATGTACCCAGAGATGAAGGTGAGGCAGGTGCTCTGAGGCTCGCAGGAATGTTGCTCGCTCCTTGCTGGTGTCTCCCACTTCTTTACGTAAGCAGTCACTCCAGTGCTTTGTAGGCTGCTTTAGATAAGATTTTGTTACTTGGACTGTTACAAGCTGCAGTTCTCTGTCATTGCTTTGTGCTGGTCTTGCTCCCACATTTAGACTTAGCATCTGTGCATTTGTCCCTGTTTCACCTCTGAGCTGTTTTCTTCCCTTTCCCTCCACCTGCAGATCACACACCCTGCTGGATGTATGTCTCAGTTCATCAAATTCTTCGGTGAGCAGATCCTTGTCCTCTGGAAGTTTGCCCTGCTGCGCAAGCGCATATTGATATTTTCACCGCCCCCAGTTGGAGTTGTCTGCTATAGAGGTATGTTTCCAGGGACACTGCAGAGCTCTGATCTAGTAGGCTGAAGCACTGCAAAAATGCCTGGGGGTGCTGAGGGGACAGACATCATACAGGTCTTCAAAATCCATTGCAACCATTCCTTGTGAAGACATCATTCAGCCTGCATTTACCCATTTCCTACAAAGAACTTTTCTTCAGGCCTTTCAGGTAAGGACATATCTGGCACTATCAAATACAGTTCCTGTCAACACAGGAAAGTAAGAGTGCTCAAGTCATTTGTGGAATCTAGAACAGGGGATTCCTGCAGGAGAACTGATTATTTCCTATCCAAACCAGGATGTCCCCACTTGAGAAGTACTGATGTTCAGGGGCATTTCAAAGCTCTAACCATTGTCTTCATGGAAGTGTGTGGGAGAACTGGGTAAACAGGGTTCAGAAGGCCTTTGAGGGAATACTGAAAACATCTCAGGATGTACTTTTCTTGTCCACAGTGTATTGCTGCTGTTGCCTTGCCAATGTTTCTCTGCCTGGTCTCGGAGGAACTGTCCCAGAGTCCAAACCATTCTTCTATGTGAATGTGGCAGACATAGAAATGCTGGAGACAGAAGTATCATATGTGGCCTGTAAGTATGATGGATTAGGCGTGACGTTTTTAACTTCAGGCTGCAAAATGTCTTGAGACACCAGACCGTAGAATAAAACTGATGAGAAATAGGATGTGCGTGGAATGACTAACTACGAAAGCAGGAGAGAACAGTTGGTCTGCTGAGAAAGCAATATGCTGCTCTGAAAACCTTCTCTGATTTTGGCAGGTACAACAGAAAAGATCTTTGAGGAGAAACGGGATCTCTATGATGTCTATGTGGACAACCAGAACGTGAAGACACATCACGAGCATCTGCAACCACTCCTGAAAATTAACAATGCTGACAAGGAGAAGTACCGACGGCTCAATGACCAGAGGTAATAATAGACATCTGGGTGGTCCTGGTAGGACAGCAGTGCAACATGGGATAAAGAGGACACTGCTCCTTTGTACTTTCCTTCTTGTCTTAGTATTTTCAAAGTTTCCCACTGCTTCAGCTCATCTCTTTGACATTCTTGTTCCGCTGTAGCTAACTGGTATGAGAGCCCCTGGGCACTCTGCACATAGAGATTAATCTGCCAGTGAGCTGCTGGAGCAGATAGAAGGCAGGAAGAGAGATTAGTTGACCACTGATCAGCAGCAGAACTGAAAACATAGCCTGATTTCTAGTCCAGTGCCTTATAAAGACTACCCTGTTGCCTCAGATATCAGGGCAACGGTGTAAGTGTGATTGGTCTCCAAGAAATGGATGTAGAGTTTTTAGCTGTAATCCTTATCTTCTCATAATGCTTTGAGGTTCATTGTAGGTATGCACATTTAATCTGTCTCCCCTCTCTCAGGCAGATGTTAATGTATTCTCAAGAAGTGGGTGAGGACTGTAGCTCCTGTGAAGAGGACCTTTTCATCTTGTGAGTGGCTACCTCTAATACTTAGTTGGTGACTGTTAGGTTTAGGGAGCCTCTTTCACTGATTTCACGTTGCACTGGTTTGGCATATTATGAAACATCATGGTTAACACAATTCTGCAGTGAGCTCTGTCTTCCTCTCGGGATCCAAGAACCAAACTGGCTCTTCTTCTTCAGATCATCTTCCTTTGAATTTGAGAAGTCAAATGCAGCCATATTAGTCTCCACTGAGGTCTCTTAAGTGCCGGGAGGGAGAAGGGAATTTTAAAAACAGAATTAGAAATGCAAAAATCCCCTCCCATTTTTGAAAACATAAGCACCATAGGACTTTTCATGCCAGAACATTTGGCTGAGGAAAGGACAGTGTCTGTGGGAAGCAGGCACTGTACCATGCTGGGGGAGGCACAGCGTGAAGGTAAGATCTGCAGGTGAAGGATTGGCCCGTTGATGTGGCTGGCTTTGTACTTGGCAAACAGAGGAACCAGAACTGGGTGAAGAGTATGAGGTATGGAATTAGATGAAAACCACACCTCTGCCACCTTCACTGCCTGTGGCTATTGTTCAAGGTCTGCAGCAGGTGAGAAGTAATGCGATGAAATTGTGTGAAGGGCTGTCGGGGCAGAGCTCTGATTGCTGAGCTGCACAGATGTAGTCAGAGTTCTTTCTCAACAGCCTTGCATGTTCCTAGGAAAGCACTAGGTAAGAAGCAGCTCTCACTGCTGTGTTCTGCACCAGCAATGGAGAATTTCTTTACCCAGTGGCTTACTAGATGGATGACAACACCATTTCCTCCTTTGCATTATGGGAGCTATAGGTCTGATGTACCTACTTCATTACCCCAGGGCACACACCAGCTAGTAATGTGGCTTGCTTCCGAAGAGTGAAATGCCTACCATAAATCAGCCAGGCAGAAGCACCGCTCTAAGTTAAAAGTTACTGCTTTATCTTTGTTTATTCTGGGTCATCCATAAGGTGGATGGAAAACTGCTACAACATCACCTAAGAAGGTGGGATCTATGAGTAAAAGGAGTTAAATGCAGGTCTGGGGCTCTGCTGCCCATTTCATAAATACGCTGTCTTTTGAGGGGTCCAGCACCATCATCTCAGCTGACTTTTATCTTACAGGTTTTTCATGGAGCAGAACAACCGCATATTTCAGACGCTGATGGAGGTGTCAGCCAGCCAGGACAAGACACTGACAGCTGACCATGCACGAGGCATGGGCCTGGATCCCCAAGGGGATCGAAGTTTCCTTATGGACCTACTGGAAGTGTATGGCATTGATGTTATGCTAGTCATCGACAACCCCTGCTGCACTTAAACCAAGGGCAAAAGAGATGGGGAGCAAAGATCACTTTTTAAAGTCTACCAGACATTGCTTAGGAGGATCACTGGAACTCATCACAGCCACTGGATGGATCTCATTTTATTTAATAACTTTATATGGAGAGTATTTATAATTTTAAAGCAAAATGTGATTTTTCCCCCCCTCAACTTCCCAATGAGTACCTCCTCCAGTTTTTTGTTTGTTTTTGTCTCCTTTTCTCTTTCCTTTGTGTTTTTTTTTCAGTTTTGTTTAGATAGAACCAGTGGCACCTTTGCACCAATCCTCACTGTTGCCAGTGATAGCTAGGTTTTGGCCTAGCCTGGATACCTGAGGGCTGAAGACGTCAGGAAAGCACTTTGATGATGGGGACCAATGTGAAACGCTGAACCTGAGCTCTCAAGACTTGACTGGAAAACCCTCATATCATCCCCTTTTCCACTTGGGGACTGAAGAGAGCTTCAGCACAGGCTGTTAGTGGCCCAGTCTCATAAAACACCTTCTGTCCTACCATGTTTATTGGTGGGGACAGTTAAACCAATGATAAAAAACAGGACTTCTTTAAAGACCCCTCACCCAACTTTTAGCAGCTGAGTTGGAATAGGGCCACCATTCCTCACCAATGGCGGAAAAAAGTTTGGGATAAGGGGGTGCTACAGGATCTTATATGACTTTACTTATTGGAGCAGCACGGTTTCAATTCCAGCATTTGAGGTGGTATAAACTGGCAAAGATTATACATACCTATCTCATAGCTGGAGAAGAGCACTATCTCTACTTAATCCCTCCTTCCACTTCCTCTGGTTTTCAGTTGCATCACACCTGCTGCTTTGGTTCAAACTCTTCAAACCAGCAAGACAGTCTCCCATTTAACAGGGACCAAAATCACTGAGCCACCTGGCAGTCACTATGCTCTCCAGCCTCAGCTCAGATGGTGCTGGGCAGGATTGAGGTGGAGAAGTATGCTCTAACTAATATCACTAGCCTTTCCTTTGCAGCAGGTGATACGTGTCACTCCTTTGCTTTAATATTGTCTGCTGATTCTCCTTTTGTCGAGCAGCTTGGGCACTGCCTGCTGCCGTCCTTGGCTTTACGTGAGACAGAGAGCAGCATGTGACCTTTCAGCTGGAATGGCTTCACAGTTTGCAGGAGGTTCTCGTGGAGTTTGGTGCCCTTAATTGGCACAGCTGCTAGAAGCAATGTCTAACAGGAAGCCTTTTCTTTTTTTCCCTGAGCAGAGAAACTGTAGAACCAGATGAATGGTATTTCTCATTCTTGTGCTGTGGAAAGACCAGGATTCAGTTCATGCAGGGCCAGTGGTTCCCTCCAGGAAGGCTATCCCTGTAAGGGTATTCCTTTCACCATGCTGAATCCAAGAATGGTACTGTAGGTTCTAGGTGTGACATACTGCTGTGCCCAAAATCCTCCATTCAGTAGCAGCACCAGCTTTAAGCTAACTGTTCTTCCTGAACTGTGGCTATAGCTAATTAGCTGCTGCTTCTAACTTAGTAGACTTCAGCACCCTTGGAGCCTTTCTGCAGTTTGTAGAAATGCAAATTGTAGCTGATATATCCATTTATCCTTGCATTTTATAGGATGAGACAGAGCCTGAACCACCTGCTAATTCTTTTTAAAACAGGTGAAGCAAATTTACTCCAAGTAGACTGTCTGTGGATTGTGTCTCTCTGGAAGGAAGAGGGCTGGCATGTCCTGTTTTTCCTTGAAGGCTAGGGTAGTTTTGCTTGCTGTGGATTCAGCAGTTTTAGTGAGGTGTGGGAGCAGGGGTCTCACAAGGCTTATTGCACAGTTCATTGATATAAGCTTCAGCATATTACGTTCCTGTGACCTGCCTGTCTCTGAGCAGTTGCTCTCCTGCCTGCTTTTTCAGGGCTTTGGATGTTTTTGTACAGGAGAAAACATGCTGCTGTTTGTATTGCCAGTTGCTCACAACTGTGATGTAATCATCCTTAGAAGGTTGGGGAAAAATATGGAGAAAGAGGAAAAAACAGAGCTGAAGTCATTTAATGGAAAGACCAGTCTTTTTTCCTTAAGACAAGGCTTTTTTTTTTTTTAAATTGACACCTCTAGTATAAAAGTGACCCACAATCTCCATGCTTTTTTCTAACTTCCACTTTAGTTTTAAGATGCTGTCTGCAGTGAAGATCCCTGAGGAAGTATAGCTGGCACTGTATTGCTGTCACTTAACTCCCTTCAGATATAAAAAAAAAAGGAACTGAAACTAGTCTCTAACAATTCTTCCTCTCACTTTCTTGAAGGTTTGCTACATAGTTTAGCTGTGGTCAGCTATTAATGACTTTCTCGTCTTTTTGATGTCAGTAGTTCTTTTTTCTGAACTAAACAGAAACAAACTTTTGTCATTGAAATTTCACAGCCTCTGCAGTCAGAGGCTTTCTCACACCCTGCATTACAGCGCTATGTTCACAAGCTGTCAGAATATCAGGTCTGCTAGACAGCACTGCTAGAGCCCACCAAGCGGAACCTCCTCAAGCTACTATTGGACATTTATTAAACCTCTGCTTTCCAGAAACTAGGTCTTCAGTTGCTAGCAGTAGCGTGGGTGCGGAAGCATCAAAGCAAGCAGATTACTCTAGAAGTAGCATCCATGCTACATCCCCGCTGGACGGCTACAGCCTATTTTGTTCTTCCTGTAATTTTGCTTTTCTACAGCCTCTCTTGGCAGGTGACTGCTACAAAAGACAAAACACAGAACAAAAAGACTTCTCTGTCCTAACCTTTCCTTGTTAGATTTGCTGCAAAAGAACTTTCCACCTCTTCTCCCCTTTTCTAATAGACATTGCTTTATTGTCACATGTGGAAAATCCTTGATAAATGGGTACATAATATAAACAAATGGCTACAGTTTGGGCCATGAGGGCTTGCTCAGTACGCTGTTTTTTTGTTGGGAACTAACTTCACTGAATCTTATCTTTCTGGGAGATAAGTGTTTTACCCTCAATTCTGTTAAGTGCATACATTTAAAATCCCCTCCTTGGCACTTAATAGTTGCTTTTTTAAATACTAGAAGCTGGAAGGGAGAGTTACTTGGTGTATTGTGAATTAAAAGAGGGAGGAAATTGTGGCGTAAGGTAGGATACTGCTGATTACTGCAAAAACCCTCTTCTCCATTTGAAGTACTTTGCCTTTACAGTGGTGCCTTGAATTTCTTTGGCGTGATGTCTCTGGTCAGTTGCTTGTGATCAGAGCCCAGGTTGAATGGTGGTTACAGTAACCATTATATATATCCTGTACCCTGGTAGACACAGTCTGGTGTGTTCTTCTTTAACACCCAAGTTGTAGCATAGCCATTGCAGGTTCCCAGTTGGTGCTTACTTGAGTTTAAACAGGAGAGCAGAGCTTCATAGTTGAATTTTAACTCAAGTTGCACTAGAAACGTGTAATCAAGTATTGAATTATTACTACTTGTACTATCTGGATTGGAGGGTAAAGCTAGGTTTTCAATCTGAACAAGAGATACTATGCCAGACATTTAAATCATGCAAAAGCCTTCCCACTGCAAGGTTAGGCCAAGCTGCATAGAGCCAAGTACAACTAAGAACTACAGTGGATACTGACAGAAAGGCATTTTACTGAATTAGAGTTCAGATTTGTCTTAAAGACATGCTAATACCTTCTTTTCTAGCATATATGAAGTAGTTACTCCAATGTATGTTAGAGCTAACAGTCATGTCACGGGAGATGAGCTCGCCTATCCAGCATCCTTAAGGGCAGGAGAAGGTTCCATCACCTTTTTAAGAGAAAGTAGCTTACTGTACAGCTTAGTCTGTAAAGCAGTGTTACTGTGACACTTCCTCCATTTTAGGAACTGTCAAAGTTAATGGGCAAAACACTAAGAGTAGCTGTGGCCCTCTTGGTGAGAGACTATGCAAGGGACAGGTGTGCTTTGCTCTGAGAGGTGGAAAGGCAGTAGTTTCTGCAATAGCAGGGCAACAGCACTCTGTCCTGATGGAAAAGTCTAGGTACAAAGCATGCATGCTAACTCAAATTCTCTCATCATAGCGTTTATGTCTAAGTTAGTTGCTGTCTCCTTTCCACCCCCACCAAAGCTAGCGGTCTTGTGACTACGAGAGAAGACAACATAAATGCCTTTCACGAGGGACTGGAACGTACTGACTTAACAGAATGGTATGTCTGTCTAAGACAGAGGGTAATAAATGCCTGTGAACCAGGATTTCAGCTCCTGGTTAATGCAACATGCCATTCGAATGGGAATCTTTAATTGTGGTGAACGTAAACAGGTGCCTTGGGCTGGTCCATCATCAGGTTGTTATCCTTCCTTTTTATTTATGCTACAGTATTTTAAGCCCTTCTAGAATGGACTGTAAGTTGAAGCCAGGATAAGTGTTTTCATGAGTGGGACCTAGGATTCTACTCTTCCTTCCTGTCTTAGGGTTTATACAAAGAAAATTGTTTGTCTTGCTGTCAGACTGAAACACAACTGAGTCCTTTCCTCAACACTGTAGATAGCAGGTTCAGCCTCTGCTTATTTTATGTAATGTTTTCCTCACACCTCCCCTCTGAATGTTGCAATTCAGAGATACAGAACCACCCCATACTGGAAGACCTCTGAACTGCAGAGGAAAAAGAAAAGTGACTTGAATGGTATTTATAAAAGCTACTCAACTGTTGATATGAATATTTAAATATCAGCCTGTGTCTCAGATGATCCTTGGTATTTTAACATCAGAACAGCATTAACAATACCAATTCTGAAGGGAGCTCTTGGTTACCCTCAAGCAGGGAATCACATTGCCATGGGAGCTGTGAGTCTGATACTATGGAAGAGAATTAGTTGTTTTCCCTGTAAGATGGTACAGATGAACCAGAAGCTAGTTCTTATCATCTTGTCTCTTGCAGCAGGCTGGTTGTAGTTCTAACAGCTCTGATGTTGTTTGCATCTTGCAGATGTGTGGTTGCTCCCATAGGCCTGTGGCTGTGTAGAGAAACTGCTTACTAAA